AGGCGGAAGGGGGGAGGCGGGCAGGGACACGGAGTAAGCTCTAATTGCATTCAATAAAGCAAATAATAGCAAGCTCATTAGAGCAGAGAGAGGAGCTGGCGAGTTGACCGCGACTCGTATGCCAACCTGCCTACGCTCTCCCCGGCCGAAGGAAGAAGAAGAGGGCGAGGAGGATGAGGATGAGGATGAGGATGAGGAGGAAGGCGGAGGAGCGAGAGAGACGGGGGATTGGAGGCAGAGAAAGGCAGAGAAACCGGGTAGAGGAACTGGCGGTCGTGCCGTCGTATCGTCGCGAGAACCACGGGTCCAATGTCATTTATTGTCCCTGGTGGACAAGCGCAGTTTGCCAGAGAGCGCACCCCCCTGGCCTGCTCGCGGCAAGGAAAGAGGAGAGAGAGAGAGAAAGAGAGAAAGAGAGAGAGAGAAAGGCGAGCCGATGGCCAGACGGCCCGGCCTATATGAATGGGCAATAGCCATGCAACCATTCGCGTCCTTCGTTAGCTATTTATCCCCGTTTATTATTATTCGACCGCATCCCATATATACTCGCGATCCGCGCTCAACACTGTACACCGCGTAATCGATGAGTAGCTATTCCCAGGGAATGTCAATTCCCCTCCGTTCCCTGGGACCAGGCCTTCCACGACTTTAAAATTCTCCCACTCTCTCGACCGTGAAAGAGAGTTCGTTCGCGCGTCATTGTTTCTTCTTTTTTTTCTTTCTTCTTATCTCATTGTGTAATATACGCGTCTATTTAAATTTAGCCTTTGATAATTTTATCGTTTGCGGGGGCGATGACGTGAAGGTAAAGATACGGTTTCTCGAGTCGATAAAATTCTCGAGCAATCTTTTCGAATTTACCTGTTCGTCTTATTTAACGAATTTCGGAAAGTTCAAAATATAATCAACGAAACACGAGAAAACGATACTCTAATCGCGACTAATCCATTCATATAAAAAAAATATAAATCGTGAACAAGCGGAACATAATAATTCCTTCCTTCCAGGAAGCGAAACTCTTCTCCTCCTCCTCTTGCTCCTCCTTCATAGGCCGAATATGAATCCCATCTCCGTTGAGAGACAAATTAATCTACACGAGACACAATAACGAATGCTTAAAGGAGGAAAGAGAATCCGACATTCGGACTCTCGGTTCGCTTCGTTTTTTCGTCCTCGGCCATAAAGGACAACACCTGAACCGGATCCTATTTCAGCTTAACAGGGAGCGTACAACGAAGACCGCGGTCGTGCCGTGTCGTTCAGGGACACGAACAATGAACCACGCATGGACAGGAAAGCTCGTTCCGAACAAATCGAAGCGAGGTCCTTCGTGGAAGGAGCGGTGCCGCCTAACGGCGGACAAAGAAACGAAGAGAGACGGAGGATGCGAGGCGATGCGTCGGTTGGAGGGAGAGAGGAGAGCAAGGGAGAGGGATCGCTCGCCCCCTCCCCCTCCCTCCTCCCTGCGCGGGTAAACGCCGGTAAGAATGGCGATTCGGCTAATGTATTCCGCGGTTGTGCACGCTCATTATTCAGCGATAATTAATTGACGGCTATAAATAAGCGGCGCGTCCCGGCACCGCGTAAATAAATGGTTCGCGCGAACCGGAATGGTAATGGTGACTTTGACGGACCGTTTAAACTGGAATAAAGCTTGGGATATACCTTCTCGGTTTCTCCCTACTCCGCGCTTTCCTCCACCAGTTCCAGCTAACGAATATAACTCACCTGCCGAAGTGTATATCCTGATCCTTCCTGTAAGGTGTGTCGTTCCGTGGCAAAATTGGTGGATATTTCTTTAGATTTTTTTGCGATGGAATTTCCTTCGTTCATCGAGGAGTTCCAATTTTTATTATATTCTTTTACGTTTATTACGATGAAGTAATTTCAGAATTTTTAAATTTCTCTCAGATGAATAGAAATGATGATAACAAGGTCTTCTTTTTTTCCAATGTACTCGCGTAAAGGCTAAATAAAGATAGAAAAATATTACAAGAAATAGTTTGAGAACTATTAGTTTTCTTTCTTAATTTTTATATACGTAAATAATAGGTTAATGTATTTTATTAATTGGAAAAATGAGCTAAATATTCTTATTATTTCAACAGGAGAATTAAAATTAATAAACGTTTCCATACCTTAAATCTCTTTGTCTTTCGTCACCAGGATGCTCGTGAATATTCGCGAAGAGAATTCCTTTAAACTGTCTTCGAACTGTCCATCCAAAGAGATTTGCGCCGTTTCTTCGTTCGAGGCTCGGCTTACACCTTCGCGATCCCTGATCGTGTTCCTGGAGAGGACAATGAAACTGCGATGTAATCGGTTGTGATTCTCGTGTTGCAGTCGAGAGGGGAGGATTGGAAGTGGATGATTGGAAGGATTAGAGAGGATACTGATACTTCGAGAGGGAGATAAACCGATAATTATCCGTAAATGTTATTCGATCCTTAACGTATTCGATCAATCTTCGTGATCTAACGATTTTCGATCTCTTTCCACCACAATTTACAATTTAAACGAAATGTAACTTATAACTCGTAGTTATTACAATTTTATAAACTTTTGGCATCGCACTCGAGTTGTACAGAAACTGGATTATTCGCATTCGAATATCCAATGTCTCGAAATACTTGATATTTTAGAATCGATCCATTTCTTAAAGAGAAATATTCTTTGAAGAGAAAATATCTCGATTTTCTGTTTCTTTTTTCTACAGCATCACATTGCATTCAGAGAAATTCCAAAAAAGAAAACACCCAAAATAACTCTCCATAATCGAGAAGAATCGAGTCGAGGAAATCTTCTCGATCAATTATCGATTGTTAACAATCCAGACCATAATAAAATCCGAAAAAGATTTTACGAGAGAGAGAGAGAGAGAGAAAACAATACAACACGGGGAGAAGAATCCTCCTCGAAGCGAAGCAGTTTCCCCGATCCGTCCAGTATCGCGATTACTCGACGAAGTCGTAATTTAGAAAATTGTAGTTATCAAGCAAGTTTCTGGCACTGCAAACAGCGGTTAATTGATCGTTATTATCAACGGATTGCCCCGGGGATGCTGATTACGGGTGGAAACCGTTCCATTCAACCTCCACTGTTCACCACAGCCGTTGCTGCCTAATTCTATTTGCAACGTGAACGCGGGAGAGAGAGAGAGGAGAGGCGCGGTCGCAGGCGTGCAGGCGCGAGAGGGAGAAGGCGAGGTTGGCTCATGAAAGCGGTACAAGTTATTATGGCCCCGGAGTTCGTAATAACCAGTGGCTTTCCTCCGCTTCCTCGTTCACGCCCACTGTTCTAACGTTGGACAGTGCACAATTAATTTCCAGCGCAACAGTAACTAATCGAGGCTTAATTCCTCCTCATCGCGTACACGCACGGGTCGTGAACACCCGTTCGCTCACCTGCGAGAACCTATTCGACCGATCATCCTCTCTCCGACACGGACGATTTAAAGGATGGAGCGGATACGGTTGAATCACGCGAATTCGATCGAGGGAAGAAGAAATTTTTAACGAACATTTTGAACAATTTTCCCTCTCTGTGCGTGAACCAGAAACTTTTCGATACAAAAAGTGTAAACGTATTTAATTTCGTATATATGTATAGTGTAATTATGTATCTAAAGGGAAGATTCTATGGTTCATAATAAGACGAAACTGCGTCTAAGAGGAAAACAAGTTAATTCTCCATAGAATGAATCGACGATTCGGAAAATTGTTCCAAAAATACATTTAAAAGTCAGTAAAAAGAATCGATGAATTTAAAAATTCCGATCGATTCCAATTTCACTTGTATTATATATTGTAAAATTTTCGATTTCGTTTCGATTACTCGAAACCTTTATCGAGTAAAATTATTATCGCAAAATTACCTCGCGAACGGTTACACTTCGAAGCTCGAGAGCGAAAAAACAGGTCGAAGATATCTCGATCCACTCGCCGAAATTCTTCGAGCAACTTCATCGGTCTACTTCTTGCCCAAGGTCGTATCTTATGCTACGTTGCCCGAGTCGAAAACGCATCCGAAGGTGCTTTCCTCCCCAACCCTTCCTCTTTATCGGTGGCGAACAGCAGAAACAACGTCAAGAATGTTCGTTGGCCTCCCCCCTCCTCTCCCTCGTTTCCATGCGGACTCTTCACTCTCCCCCTTCCTCTTAACGCAATGGCGGACCAACGCTTCGCAGATGCGTATCTTCGAATCGGCGAAAAAAATAATACAATGAATAGGAAGCTCTCCTCCCTTCCCTCTCCCCCCCCCCTTTTTATCGGGCGCGTAATCTCGAAACGGGACGCGGAATCTCGCCTAATAACCTTTTCGCCGATCGACATTGTTATGGGCCGGTCATTAAGGCGAAACCGCAGCAACCCTGTTGGCGCTTTCGCCGCTTCTGCTACATCGCTTCTGCCAGCGATGTTGTAGCCAAAAAACGTGGTGGCGTCGTTTATCGAGGGGAGAAGAGGAGAGGAGAGAAGAGGAGGGGAGAGGAGGGGAGGGGACCATGCGCGCCGTTGGCTTTCATCGGCGTGCACTTATCTCAAGGGACTTGAAAATCCGGTCGCATTAAGATATCTATCGGAACAACGGATGTGCGCCATTAAACTTTTACTTTATTTAGCGCTCGGAGCGGCCTCGCGCTCTCGCCGCGAGTCAAACAGGGGAAAAGAGACAGGTCGAGAGATAGCCACGAAGAATAAACGGATGGAGGATGGTGGGAATGGGAAAGCGGGGAGAGAAGAGGCGGGGAAAGGTGCCCCCGCAATAATTTACTTACGACTATTGAGAGGCCGGTTCGGAAATAAATTGATCAGTTTTTCTGTTTTTTATTCGGAACACGCGTAATGCAACTTTGTCGATCAGATTCTTCGATACGGAAAATCTTTTCGTGTAACGATGTAAATATAAAGTGGAGGATCAAGTTGTTTCTTTATTGATATAGAATTACATATGTATAAGATGTATCGAATATATATTGTTCATCTCTCGAGAATTAATTTAAATTAGGAGATGAAATAAATCGAAGAGTCTTTTATTTGAAACGTGCAATTTTGTCCATTCATCAGATTTCTCGATACGGAAAATTAAAATCTTTTCGTGTAACGATGTAAATATAAAATGGAGGATCAAGTTGTTTCTTTATTGATAGAATTATGTAAGATGTATCGAATATATATTGTTCATCTTTCGAGAATTAATTTAAATTAGGAGATGAAATAAATCGAAGAGTCTTTTATTTGAAACGTGTAATTTTGTCCATTCATCAGAATTTTCGATACGGAAAATCTTTTCGTGTGTAAATATAAAGTATAAAGTGAAGGATCAAGTTGTTTCTTTATTGATATAGAATTACGTATGTATAAGATGTATCGAATATATATTGTTCATCTCTCGAGAATTAATTTAAATTAGGAGATGAAATAAATCGAAGAGTCTTTTATTTGAAACGTGTAATTTTGTCCATTCATCAGAATTTTCGATACGGAAAATCTTTTCGTGTGTAAATATAAAGTATAAAGTGAAGGATCAAGTTGTTTCTTTATTGATATAGAATTACGTATGTATAAGATGTATCGAATATATATTGTTCATCTCTCGAGAATTAATTTAAATTAGGAGATGAAATAAATCGAAGAGTCTTTTATTTGAAATTGCAATTTTGTCCATTCATCAGATTTCTCGATACGGAAAATTAAAATCTTTTCGTACAACGATGTAAATATAAAATGGAGGATCAAGTTTTTTCTTTATTGATAGAATTATGTAAGATGTATCGAATATATATTGTTCATCTCTCGAGAATTAATTTAAATTAGGAGATGAAATAAATCGAAGAGTCTTTTATTTGAAACGTGTAATTTTGTCCATTCATCAGATTTCTCGACACGGAAAATTAAAATCTTTTCGTATTCTTAACTCTCTTCCTCTTCTCTTCTCTTCAAAAAAAAAAAAGAAACTGTACTATAAGTATACACCTCTTGATTCGTCCTTTTAAAAAGCCAAAGAAGAACGAAACCAAAAATACAATTAAGCAGAACATCCACAAACAAAAAGAAACAACATAAGTAAAGTATAAAATGGAGAATCGAATTGTTTCTTAATTGATGTAGAATCACGTACCTAAGATATATTAAATATTGGTATTGTTGCGACGAATAGAATTTGTAGCGATCGTTTCACAAGTTCAACCTAGAAGAGGAAAAAGAAGGCAAAAGAAAAAGAAGAGAAGAGTTCGCATACCTGCATCCCCTGTATGATTGTTCTTCTAGCTCCAGAACGTGTAATTATTATTTACGTTCGCTCTTAATGACCGGCTCTCGCACGACACCATTTAGAATTGCTAATGGCCGCGCATCTGTGCTCCACGGCCACTGTCAATAGGTAAAACTCATTACCTGGCCGGACTAACTAATTGGATACATTTGGATTGACGGAATGCCCGGGCACCAACGATCGGTTATTAAATCGCCGACTCTAAAGTATCCTTATGTTAATGCGCAACCGTGCCACCATTACGGAATAGAGGCACGTATACACACACACACACACACACACACACTGTTCCCGAGGATCGTTTTGCGTTAACGGAATGCTCGATAGTTTATTAGTCCCTGACCAACGTTTCTTAGTGGTCCATGACTACTCGTACGAACAAGTTGATGGTGGAAGCGGAATAGAAATAGAACGAAAAAGGGGACGAGAGAGGGGAAAAAAGTAGAGGAAAATATATATATCTTGTTCGAGCAAGATCGATCTTGCGTCAAATCAATTATTTCCCTTGTTAACGATTCTTCGATCTTCGCTATCTCTCAATTCTTCTCTTCCTCTTCTCTTCTCTTCAAAAAAAAAAAAAAAGAAACTGTACTATAAGTATACACCTCTTGACTCGTCCTTTTAAAAAGCCAAAGAAGAACGAAACCAAAAATACAATTAAGCAGAACATCCACAAACAAAAAGAAAAGAAAAAACGATTATTAAACCGCTTGGAGAGAGCTTCGAGGTCGGTTTAACCGGAAAGTTACGATCCTCCAACTCGTTACGCATGCATAGGCGCGAGCATAAAACATCCTCTATCGTCCACTTTCCTTCCCTCCTTCGACTTCGCAATTTTTCCAATCTCTTCCAACACCACCCTAACCGCGATCCACAACGCAGAGACACCTCTCGAGAGATTTCCTTCCCCCGGATATTTTTGTCCCGTGACGCGGCTTCCGGTTACGAGGCGCGTCGTTACTCGCGCTGATTTAGTCGAACGCCGCGAATTTACGGATCCACCCTTTTTCGCGTGGAACGAAACGCTCTCTCACTCTCTCTCTCTTTCTCCACGGTCCCTTTCTCGTTAGCCGCCTACATTATATTACCCATCGAGGTGCATACATCATTCCCTCTTTATGTAAGTATCTATAACAGGCCGAGAAACATTTGCAGCTCGCGCTCGCGAGGGAGAGACGGACGCTTGGAAGGAAGGGCCGCGTGGGCCGGCGAGCGGACGCGGCTCGGCTTCGAATACTCGCCGCGGAATTGATGTACTGCGACCGACGAACAATGCCTCGTACCTCGGACGACAGGTAAACCGTTGCCTTGGACCGAGCCCACGTGCCCCCTCCCGTCTCCCAACGGAGTCTTCCAACAGGGGCCCCGCTCTCGCGAGACTGGAAATTACAACAGAGTCCTCCTTTTTTGTCCCAGGTGGTGGTTGGATCGATGATGCGAGAATTTGTTCGAACGGATTATTTCAAATTTTTAACTTTGGAATACTTTGGATGATTCGTCGTTGATATTGGGAGTTTGATATTGAGAATTTGATTGAATTTGAAGGATTAGTCGAGGAAAGGATAATTTTTAACCTGGGACGAATGACGAATCGTAATCCGTTAATTATTTTATCTTCTCTTTCGATGCGAGAAATTCGATCGACGTTTGGAACAATATATTTAATTACATCGTACTGGATATTTGTATTATACGTTTCTCTTTGAATACAAGAGAGAGATGAAATTCGAATCCATTTTTCACAATTATCGAAATTGAACATATATAAAAAAGGGTTTTCAAAAGCTTTGAAGATCGATAAAAAAAAGGACAAAAACCTGTTGAAAAAAAAAGAAAGAGAGTATCTCGAGAGTTTTCGTATCTAAACAGTCGAAACTCACCCCCGTTAAATTCCGCGTTTGCGAGTAAATGAATACGCACGCGATAGAGGTAATTAAGCGTTAAAACGGGCTGCTACTCGCGATTACGCCCTTTGATTCCATCTCCCGTTGCCGCGTAATCAGGATGCATACAGAGAACATGCACAATGTTAGCGTCTCGTGTAATTCTCGATAGAGCGACGCGTATCCCGATCGTATCTCTCTTCACGGACATTGTCGTGAATCGTTACTATCCCGCCCTTTTTACAGATTACGCAAGAGCTATAATTATTGCCTCACATCGGCAGAAAAAATGATAATTACTTTACATGCTTAATTACGCTCTCCTCCTCCTCCTCCTCCTCCTCCTCTTTCTCTGTCCCTCTCTCAAGGGTATGTCCAACAGCCGGTAGGCGCGATAGCGCTTTAATGGCAGAAGAATTAATTATACCCTGCACGCGATACGAAGAAAGTATCTCGGCCCTTTTTACCCGCGGGGGGAGGGGGCATTAGGGAGCTTAATTGACCGGACATTGCGTTAACGAAGATCAATGGCGGCCACGCCATCCGCAATCGATTCGGTTCGTACGTAATAATGGTTCAATTATAATATTATTCGTCGATATTCGCGTTATGGATAGTATATTATAACGAAAATTAAAGAGCGCAATGAATATAAATATGTGCCTGTATTAATACACGTATGAATTTTATAATTAATCCTGTATTGCGTGAATTTTTATGACGAGTTGAAAAAATATACATGGCTAGTTAAATGTTAGTCTAACATTTTACGAGACCACATCTTTGAAATTTAATTTCTCCAATTGGGAATGCAATAGAGGGTTAAAATCAAATACGAACTTGTGAAATAACGCAAAAATTTGCTTTACTCCACAAATATCACCCCATTTTCTCTCCTTTTACTTCGATCGAATGTAGATATATATACTAGAATGTCCACGCGCGATTTTATATTTCTTAATATATTTCCATAATTTTCGGTTCGATATAAAGCCGATTACGAGTGCCTGTTACAGAATATCTCGGTGAAGGCAGAAACGTGGACGTATGGATCGCGGACGGCGCACCGGCGCGCATTGTTGCGAGCTGGCCCCGATGCTATCTGGGCCAGTGACGTTGTCGTGAATTGTAAGACACCACGCCGCGGATGTGGAAACGAACGGATCGAAGGAACCCACGGCCACGTGAAATATACGTCGTCCACGTTTCGCCTTC